CCTCAGGAGACTCCGCCTCAATCTATTTTTAAATTAAAAAAGAGGTGTTAACACACATTTGCTGCCCAGTGACTGCGCCTGTCGTGGGGAGTCAGAGCTGTGTACCCACACATCTGCACTCCGCTTCCATCCGCTGCCCCTGCCCTCCTCGTCTCCAACCCCCTCCCATCAACAGAGAACCTGTGTCCTCCCACCTCCATCACCCATCCTTTATTCTTCTCTTTATTTTAGCGCTGCTTTCAGTTTCTCATTCAAGAGAAACCAGGCAATGCCTAAGCCTACGTGTCTGATTTATTTCACTTTAGCATTGTGATCTCGAGATGCATCCATTTCCTACAGATACCTAAGGTTTATCATTCTTCATAACTGAGTAATACTCCACTCTGCATCTATACCACACTCCCTTTAGCCATTCACCTACTGATGTAACCATAGGCTGATCCCAAGATTTAGGTATTAATTTTTTTAAAAATTGAGGGAGGAGCCAGGTGTGGCAGTACACACTGATAATCCTAACACTGTGCAAGGATATGGCAGGAGAATCGCAAGTTCCAGCCTGGGTGACTCAGTGGCTTTGAAATAAATAATTTTTAAAGATAAAAGCATCCAGGAGTTCCAGCCAAATAGCTCAGTGGATTAAAGCGCCTGCAAGCAGGCACAGGGACCAGATCCCAGGCCTGCTGTGCTGGCCCCACCCCCAGGGCGCGCTGAGATGGCAATTGAGGCTGGGTGTGGTGGCCCGGGCCTGTAATCCGAGCTCTTGGGAGGCTGTAAACAGGCGGATCACTATGAATCTGATCTAGTAGTGAGACCCTGAACACCCCGTAGACCCTGAACACCTTGAAGATCCTTTCCTAAAATACCAAAAAAAAAAAAGCATCCAGGAAGGCCGAGGTCACACCTGTAAGCGCCTGCTCCATGGGTGCCATCACACCTTCCTGGAGGTCGCCCTGGAGCGGGCCACACCAGGCATCCCTCCCAGCACTCACGCATTGACTGATGTTAGGGGCAGCCGGGCAGGGCAGCCGTGGGCACGCAGGGCCAGCCGGCTCTGAGCACCGGGAGCCCTGGACAGGGCAGAAGCCAATGCCGTGTGCTGTGGGGTGGCCCCACTGGACAAGGCCCACGAGAGATAAACCTCAGGTGGCTCTGCTGACGCCAGTGCTCAGGCGTGGGCACACTCGAGCTGTCAGCAGGGCTGGGAAGGGGCGCAGCGAGTTGTTGAGCAAGTTGGGTTTTAGCATTTATTCATTTATTTTTTGGTTCTGGGAATCAAACTCAGGACCTTGCGCTTGCCAGGCAGTGTGCAGTATAGCCCAAAAGATCTGTGCGAAAAACCTTTTTCAATGTTCTCCTGCCCAGGTGACCAGCTCTCAGTGTTTATTTATTTCTTGGGGAAGCAGAGGGTCTTAATAAGCAAGCTGGCCTCAGGCGCCCACTTGCAGCAGACCCATTTAATGATGTATTTTAAGAAAGGCGTGACTGGGGGGATGTGGCGGCAAGCAGCTGTCGTCCCTGCACTCGGAGGCTGAGGAGGGAGGGTCACCACAAGTTCCATGTCCAGCCTGAGCTATGGAGCGAGACCCTGCCTCAAATTTTTAAGTGGTTTTTCTTCTCTTTTCTTTTTCTTTTTTTTTTAAAAGCATCTTGGGGCCGGGGAGTTAGCTCAGTAGAGTAAGTGCTTGCCTGGCAAGCGCAAGGGCCTGAGTTCAATCCCCGGTTCCGCAAAAAATAAATAAATAAATAAATAAATAAATAAATGTTTAAAAAAGCATCTCTGGTCCTAAGATGACCCAAGACTCCCATGTGCTCCTGTGACACCAAGCAAAACACCTGGCCATCTTTGCCACTGGGAAAAGTGGCCCTGGTGTCCCCTGGGCCCAGGATTAGGGGACTCAGGCATCTGAGCTCAGCTCCTAGCAGTACAGGCTTTTGCGGGGTCTCCATGGAAACACACGGCCACACCACCCTGCCTCTCATGCTAAAAGTTTGATAAGATGCCTTCCGGGCCAGGCCTGTCTGAGGACCTAATCCTGTCCCTGCATTCCGGGACACGCTATCTTGGGCACAGGAACTGCGCCGGCCAGGGCAGCACTCGGGTCAATCTTGGGGTTTACCTCTCTGGATACAGACAGGGACAGAGCTTATCAGCTCCCAGGTTTTTCTCACACTGGAAAATATCCACCGCCAGCCAGAACTGGTGGCACAGAGTGCCTGTGATCCCAGCACTCTGGGAGGCCGAGGCAGGAGGATCACACAATCTGGGAAATTTACTAATGACTTAGTAAGACCCTGTCTAAAAAAAAAAAAAAAAAGAGCTGGGGCTGTAGCTCAGTGCAAAGACCCTGCATTCAGCCAACTGTACTGCAAAAAACCCCACAAAAACCATAAAAGTCTCCAGGGCTCCGGGGCTCTCTGGACCTGCCCGACAATACAAAGTGGCCCCGGGCACACAGTCAAAGCTAGGTGTGTGAAGCTGGCCCCTCTCTGCACCTTCCTAAGCCAGGGACCCTCAGCAGGTCCCCTGGGGACCCCCAGGGACAGCTCCGTCCTCTAAGAGCAGAGAGCAGCAGCACAAGGTGTGCAGCAGGTGGTGACGGCGCCGGCTTGGGCCCTTCTGTGGCCGGCTGGTCTTCAGGACTGAAACAGGCAGTGCTTTCTGTGTCCGCCCCGACCCCAGCCAGCTGGAGCAGTCTGCGCAGCCCTGGCCAGCGCGGGGAAGGTCACTGGGCAGAGGAGGTTGGAGGTGACAGTCGCCTGCTGTGCCAGCCAGGGCCCAGGGACCTTCTCTCCTCTCTTTTCAGGACCCTGAGGTTCCCTTTGTGGCAGAGCTGACACTGAATTCTGCCCTCAGTGGACCAACACCAGGGCAGGGCTGGTTCACTGTGGGTGACTCTCAAGGAGGCAAGTGCTGTATGTGGCCCCAGCAGCTGCCCCCCAAGACTTCAGCAGGTGGGAAGTCCCCCCCCCAGGCTGGGGTCACCGGAGGGAGCCCGTAACAGCAGGCCATACCTGGCATGTCTCACTTGCCTAGTCTGGATTCTAAATTTAACCTACTCTGCTTGGGGCCTGGAACCTTCCACAGGCCCCCAAATGCCACTCGGAAGACACCACCTCTGCCAGCTCCTGCATGGTCCAGGTGCTGCCCCTCCCCCACAGCTGGTGTGGAGACCCCTGAGTTCCTGAGCAGGCCCAGCGGGGCTGCCTCCAGCGGCTGGTTCACACGCACATGTGCGCCCACGCAGATGTGCACGCACAGCAGTGCACAGGCACCGACGCTGCCACCCCAAGCCAAAGCGCAACACTGGCTGGCACCACCCAGCAGCCATCTGGTGGGGGTGGCGAAGCCCTGTTATGCAATTTCCTGCCCCAGTGTCTCAATCAGAGGCGGCAGGATGCGGGCGCTGAGGGGCTCGAGTGATGGGAGAAGCCAGAGAGGAGACGGATCCAGCATCCACAGGGTGTGCTGAGGGCCTCCTGTCCTCCACAGCATGGCAGAGGCCACCACCCACCCACCCAAGATGAGCCAGGAGCTGCAGGTGACCAGGCAGCCACTTTGTGCAGGGAGGTGCAGGGCTCTGAGGACCCGGATGACGCTGCAGGAAGACTTCCAGGAAGTGAGGTGGGGGAAAAGGCATTTCCTGTCCAGGACCCAGGATGCCTTGGCACCAGATTTTCTTGTACCAATAAGGATGGAGCTGGGGCCTTTGCACTGAGCTACAGCCTCAGCACCCCTTTTTTTTTTTTTTTTTTTTTTTTTCAAGTTTTGCACATAGAGTCTGAGCTGCTAAATTGCCCAGGTTGGGTTTAAACTTGTGATCCTCCTGCCTTAGCCTCCCAGGAAGCTGGGATTACAAGAATACAGGTCCAGTTAGTAATACTATCGGGAATAAAGGTCACTGAATGGCCCACAGACACGCGTGAGGCTGAGTACACAGTGGTAAGAACCTAGCTCTGGGTCCAGGGTTGGAATTCTGGCCCTGCCTCTTTCTAGTTCCCCGTCCAGGGCAGTGTTTAGAGCCCCTCTCTGATCCATGAGCCACGCAGGACGGTGCCTCCCTGGTGGGGCTGTCACGTGTGTGCAAAGAGTTCACATCCCTGCAGAGCAGGAAGCTGCGCGGCTCATGTGCATACGAGGCGTGCTGTCTCTGCCAGGCTTGCACAGGGACCCTGCGCCAGGGTGGCTCCAGCGCAGCAGGCCTGGGCCAGCCCACACAAGGCTCCCATTAGGAGCGGCAGCTTGTGTATCCCAGAATCTGCTGCCCACAGAGCCCGAGGCCTGAGGTTGTCCTGGGTACCTTCCTGGGAGACAGGCTGCAGGTCCACCGGCGACCTGAATTAGGGCCCGGCCTAAACAGTCACCCTAACATAGTCATCAAAAAGCCAAGTTTTGGGGCTGGTGAGATGGCTCAGTGGTCTAAAGCACCTACTTAGAACAAGCTTAGCAAAGCACAGGGACCGCGGTTCAATCCCCCAGCACCACATGCCAGCCAGCCCCGCCCCCTGGTAGGCTGAGCTGGTCACACACACACACACACACACATAAAAAAAAAAATTAAAAAAAAATAAATTAAAAAAAAAAAGCCAAGTTTTAATCCAGAGCAGGTGTGCACGCCTGTGATCCCAGCCCTTGGGAGACTGAGGCAGGAGGATCGCTGTGAGTTCGTGGCCAGCCTGGGCTACGTAGTGGGTTCAAAGTCAGCATGGACTACATAGCGAGACCCTGTCTCAAAAAAGCATGACCAAAAAAAACAAAAAGCCAAGCTCCTCACAAGTGGCAGACACCAGGGCCAGGGCCCCAGCCAAGGATCCTTCTGAGGTCCTGGAGCCAGCCCAAGTGGAAACAGGGCCGCAGAGAGCAAGTAAGCTGGCGCCCTGGCTGGCCCATCCTCAGGAACTGGGACACCCCAACCCCAGCTTCATGCCTTCCCCAGCCGCCAAGCCCTGCAGGAACCTCCAAAAAACACCAGTTCCTCACCAGACCTACTTTAAAATTAATTTTATTTCTTTTGATATCTGTTATCATCTGAAATCTTAAAAAAAAAGTTCACTGTACATTGCCTTCAAGAGCCTTGTGCTCCCGTAAGTGCACTGGTTCAATTCACAGTAATCTCCGCAGCTGAGGACGGTTCTTATTGCTGGAGGAGTGAGTGTCCACGCTGCGCTGGGTGGGGGGCATCAGTGGAAGTGGGGCCCCAGTGGACAGGCCTGGGCCTGTGCTCCAAGGTGGAAGGAGCCGAGGGGTCAGCCCCAGCTGGCATCTCTGGGGTCTCCCAACCCCACCTTTCATGAGGCAGGAGGGAGGGAAAGGGGGTTCAGGGAGAAAGGGGAGCCACAGTGGGGCAGGGACATGCAGGGGAGGATCCTGGGCTGTGAGGCTGCTCACACGCACAGAATGTGGGTCTGGAACTGGGCAGGGCGACACACTCCTGTCTTCCCAGCACCCGGGAGGCTGAGGCAGGAGGATTGCCATGAGTTTGAGGACAGCCTGGCCTATACAGCAAGTAGTAGATGAAAAAGAAACGTGGGTTTGAGGACCCCCTTCCTGCCCTTCCTGCTCCCCAACCCTACTTCTAGGAAGACCCCTCAGTGATGACCCAGCCCAGGATGAGAACCCAACTTCTCGACCCCTTGCTAGGGCCCGCCTCTTCATTAGTGCAAGAAAGACCTGAGTGTAGAGAGGGCCCCTTACGGGGAGGCCAAGTCTGGGGATGCCGGGCCCCCACTCCCACATGCAAGGCCACAGCTCCTCTGGGCCCCGGCTTGGGCTCCCGAGCACTCAGGGGCTATCCCCACACTGCCTGGAATCCAGCCCTCAGTCCCCTATGCCCCTCCCAGGGACAGCCTGGGCCCGGGGCCCACGAACCTCTCCCTGGGACGCTCTACCAGTGGCTCAGGTGAACGGAAATGATTATTTTCTGGTCTACAGGTTCTGTGCCTGGCTATGCTCCGCACAGCAAGGCCCGTGGCAAGCCTGAAGGAGCGGGGCTCCAGCAGGTGTCCCCCAAAGCGCAGGGCTGATGGTGTGTCCTGGACTTCTGGAGAGTGGACACCGGGAGTGGCTACCAGCCCCCAACCAGGGCTGGATGCCAGGCGACCCTCCCAGCCCTGGGCCCGGGTTTCCTTCCTGAGGACAGCAAGCAGCAGCATCTCTGACATGAGAGGGTGTCCCTCCACGCTGGGCTTGGGGCCTGTGTGCAGCCTCCCCCAGAGAGCCTGGGGGGGCATCCCCTGAGAATGATCTGGGCACCCTGTCTTGGCTCTCTGCTGTGCTCTAGAGGTGGTGGCTGGGCGCTGGAGCCACCAGATTCAAGTCTTCAGGTGCAGCTGGACAGGGATGGGACCTCAGAGGCTCAGACTGGGACAGTCATGGCAGTAGGGGCAGGGGAGGCCCCGGGCCTTCAGGACTGGTGCAGAAGCAAAAGGAAAAGCCACCTGCTTAGAGGAGAGGCCTGGGGACAGGGCCTGAGGACACAGGGGCACACTGCAAAGATAGATCATGGGCCCCTTGCACTCCTCCTTGAGCCACCCCAGGCCACGTAAGGCTGCAGAAAACAGCAAAGCCAAGCAGACGCACACACTGCCCAGCTCCTGGCATGGGGAGAGGGAGGGAGGGGCTCCCGGGTGAAACCTGCCTGTGGCACCGTCTCCGCCCAAGCAGAAGAGCAGACAGCTGGCTTAGACCTCCTCTCCTCTGCAGCTCTCTCCTGAGACACCAGGCATTCGGGGGGCCCAGGTAACACCTCGGGGGCTGCCATGCTCTGGGAAGGTAGAGGGACAGCAGGAACAGGGTCCCATATTCCCTCTCTGACTCTTCTCTTTCCTTTAAATTCAGCTTAAGGCAAAAGTTTGGCAAAGCAAGTCTACATAAGGCCGCGCGGCAGAGGGCAGGAGACGAAGGGCAGGGCACGGGGGGGACGGCCAGCAAGACACCAACAGCATAGTGGCCGTGGCAGCCCTCAGTGGCAGCCCCGCCCTGAACCCCACCGGGAGAAATGGAAAAGAAAAAGCCATGTCTGGGGAGTCGCCTGCAAGTGAAAGACGGAGATGGCGAGGAGGGGAGACCACGGGACGCTCCGGCCCCGCAGGGGAGGGAGCAGGTGCCAAGCGGGTCGCCCGTGGGGGACAGCAGCACAGTGAGGTCGCCCACTGGAGAAGAAGGTAGAATGGTTGTATTTTGCCCAAGGGCCCAAGAGTGCGTTTGGTTTCATTCTGAGCCGCGCTGTTGTCCGGAGTCTAACCCAGCGGGCGGCTCCGTGGCATCACCGGTGCTTGGGTGGGATGACCACCAGCGGGGGCCCGTACTTGGGCCTCCACATGAGGACCTGAGCATCGTTGGCGTTAGGCTTGACCAGGGCGCTGGGTGGGATGGGCTCGTTCTTGCTCAGGATCTTGGGCTGGTCCTGCGCGATGGGTTCCCGCAGCCGAGCGCGCTGGCCCAGGGGCCGCGTGGGGTTCACGTCGATGTTGAGCTGCATGCGCCAGTGCAGCGTCTGCAGGATGATCATGTCGTTGGTGGAGGTGTTAGTGGCCACCAGCCAGGTGGTGAAGCTCTGGTCCCGGTAGATGCTGGTCAGCTTGGCCACATTGCTTTCGCTCACAGGCACGGCCCACGTGACACTGGGGTAGAAATTGTCGTTCATGCTGATGACGAACTTGGAGTCCCTCTTGGTGGGGCCCACAATGGTGCAGGTCTCTGTGGTATTACCGTACCAGGGGTAGTTCACCCCATCCGAGTCACTGATCGCCTCAATCTTGCCCTCCTGCAGGTCGGGAAGCTCCCAGCTGGACCTATAAACAGGAAAGGTACCCCACGTCACCAACTCACGCTCTCAAAGGGCTTCCTGACATCCTGGAGGTGGGCTAGGGATTGTGTCAGGCCCTGAGGACAGGGCAGACACAGAGGACCTGGTCCCCCTGCCCTCAGGGCTCACTGTTGTGGAGCGGGGACCAACCAGACATAGGGTACAAGTTGGAAAACCACAGGTACAGGCTCCCCGATGACCATGGCCAGCAAGGACCCAAATGACGCCCCGGCCAGCACTCATGTCACTCCTGAAACTGTCAGAGGCCAGGGCTAGATTCCACTAGGACTGGGAGAAGCCCTGATTGGCTCTCCCCTTGAATGGGATTGTCACTCAGAGGAAACTGCTAGCGGCTACCAGGGATGACAAATCCGGACACACGCCAGATGCCAGGCTGAAAGCACCTGGCCAGTGAGTGGCCTCAGGCCAGTGCTTGTCCCTCTGGGCTTCTGTACCCTCACCCAGGAAAAGGGGGTGACTCTAGCCTTTCTTCCTCCACGCAGGGTCCCAGGGACCCCTCTTGTACCATGGTGGGGGTCTGGACTCCCTGGTCCTCAGCCGGGCCACCTGGGGCACCAGGGAGGCCTCCCAGGTCTAGAAGATGATGCACCCACCCTGCTGACCTCTGTGGAGCAGAACCAGAGAGAACCCTCCCCTGAGAACCCTCTCAGGCTGAGCCGAGGACCCCAGTCCTGGAGAACCATGAGGGCTGAGCAGATAGGGACAGTCACCAGTGGGTGTATGGTCAGGATCATCCACTTCCACCCACTGAGACCCAGGTCAGGACTCAGGAAGCCCTTGTCTCGCAGTGGCTGGGCACCTAGGCAAGGCACCTCGCTCTTTGGACTCCAGACCTACCCCATCCATCCTGAGTCACTGCAGGAACTCACCCACCCAGGACCTGACACAAGGCAAATGCCACCATCAGGAGCCTCCAATGCCATGGCCTCAAGGCCCTCAGATGGAAGAGGACCAGGCAAGGAAGCCCTGAGGACAGACACCCCTCGCTCCCACCCAGCCATGGGCTCCTGGCATCCACCCCAGGAGGTAAAGGGCACAGTGTTACAGATGCTGGGACCCTCACCCACCCAACACAGCCCGCAGGTAAAGGAAGAAAGCAAGTGGGGCTGCACAGGTCAGGACCCCTCCCCGGGAGCTCTAGCATGGCCTTGCCCGTTCTGTCCTCCACCCTGTTCTGCCCCGCCTGGTAAAACACAAACTCAGCACACAGCACCTGCACACAGGCCACTCCAGGGTGTTGTCCCTAAAGAGTGGCTTCTCCCTATTTGTATTCACACGGAGTATTTGCGCCGGATGGATGGGAACAGACAAAGCCTGCCATCCCAGTGCCTGGGAGACTGAGGAAAGAGGGTCCCTGTGGGTGGGTCAGAGGCCAGCCTGGGTCACGTGAGTGAGCTCAAGGCCAGCCTGCACTGCACAAGGAGACCCCGTCTCAAACAAACCAACCAAAGGACGATGCAGGGTCCTGCTCTACCCACACAGTGGCACATTCTTAAGTTTTAGAGCCGGAATCACTGACATCTGAGACCACATCTCCCCACAGGAAGCTACACCCACCACAAAGACACAAATACTACAGGATTCCTCTTCTTGCAGGAGGCAATTGGCACAGTTGGGTTTATAGAGACCCAAGCAGATGTGGGGACAGGGAACACAGGGGTTCATGGAGAAGGGGCAGGAACGACAAACGCCCTGGATACAGGTGGTGGGCAGCTGCATGGCAGTGTGACCACAGGGACCCTTGATGACATGCCTTACACGGTCCAGCCCACTCACCCTTGGAAAGGCGCCAGTGGGGCCAGCAGTGACCCTGAGTGCAGCCACCAGAGGGGGAAGAGGCAGCGGTAGGGCTCTGCCCAAGTCTCCCGGGAGCACAGGCTCTTGTTCGTCAGGCCCAAGCCCCCAGCTCCAGGAGGGTCCCACTGCTGTCCTCTCCCAACACATACATCTGCCTGGGAAAGTGCTTTTTGTTCTGTGATTTTGGCAGCATTGAGGGTGAAACCAGGACCCTGTGCATGCTATAAGCATGTTCTACCCCTGAGCTCCACCCCAAGCCCAGAAAGTCATGGCTCAAAAGTGGTGCACACCAGTAATCCCAGCACTCAGGAGGCTGAGGCAGGAGGATCGCCATAAATTCAAGGCCAGCCTAGACTACATAGTAAGACTCCATCTCCAAACAAACAAAAAAAGGCAGAAAGGAAACAGACAAAGGCTCTTAAGCCTGGCCCTGGGCCCTCACTTCTGAAGAATGGAAGCCCTCATTATCTAACCCCAGCCCCAAAGTCCACACCCTGGCTTGCCACAAATGGACTCGTCCCTTGGCAGGTACCCCAGCCTCATGCGGGGCTTGCTCAGAGCTAGGTGTGCACAGCGAAGGGCACCACTCCAGGGATCTCAGGCCAAACCCTCTGCCCCCTCTGCCCCCTCTGCCCTATCCGGCACAGGCTGTGTCTCACCGCCCCTGCTGCACCTGCGGGGGCGGGTGAGGAGTCATGTTCTCACCCCTCCCCTGCGGCACAGGCAGCAGCCACACAGGGGACTTCCCAGCATCGCAGGTTGGAGAGGACCCCAGCACCAGCCCCCTGAGAGGCCTCTGTGGCCTCATTTGCATTTTCAAGTCACACACGGGGACTTCTACCTGGTGGTGTTTGTCTCCTGGGGTCCTTGAGCTCCGGCAGGGTTGAACTCAGTACCCCACCCTGCAGGAGCTGGGCAACGCTCCAAGGGACAGCAAGGGTGCCAACCCAGATGCCCCCAGGCTGCCACCGACTGGTGCTGGCTGAGCTCCCAGTGCCCTGCAGGCTCCCAGAGCCCCCAGCAGCACAGCTTGCTGCAGCCGGACTGAGTTCAGATTCTCACTGTGTCGCAGCTCCTTGGCCACCTAC